TTATGGTGCCATTACCAATTTAGTTATCACGTTGCGTTAAAACTCTGAAATGATTCATAAACTGATCAAAAAATCACGACGATGATTTTGCTATACACTTTTTCCAAGGAGCAAGATTRGGAGCAATTTTAAATCAATGCTCCTTATCCTRCTCCCTGCAAAAAGCATGAGCCMATACTGCTATAAAATTTTGACGATTATTTTACTACACACTTTTTACAAGGAACAAGCCCACTGACAATTTCAAATCCATACTACTGTGCGTGCTCATTGCAAATAGCACGAGCCAAAATTGCTGAAAATAGTACCTGAATTCGTTTCCATGATATGTGGAGACAAATATGAGCTTATTGTGCCATGAAAATTAATACAAATTTTATTCTCAGGCCGTTACAGATTTAGGAAAACCATAATTAGGACAAAATTAAACCAATTGAATTAATCTGTCTGAATTGTTCCTTATGGTGCCTTTACCAATTTAGTTATCACGTAGCGTTAAAACTCTGAAATAATTCATAAACTGATAAAAAAATCACGATGATGATTTTGCTATACACTTTTTCCACGGAGCAAGATTAGGAGCAATTTTAAATCAATGCTCCCTATCCTGCTCCCTGCAAAAAGCATGAGCCAATACTGCTATAAAATTTTGACGATGATCTWACTACACASTTTTTACAAGSATCAGGCTTAGTGACAATTMCAAATAATGCCACTCTGCCTGTTCATTTCAAATAGCATGAGCCACAGTTGCTGAAAATAGTACTTGAATTCGTTTCCATGATATGTCGAGATAAATATAAGCTAATTTTGCCATAAAAATTAATAAAAATGTTGTTCCCAAGCCGTTACAGATTTAGGAAAACCATAATTAAGGTGCCAATATTAGCTGCAACAATTGCTTTAAGGACTATCGAATGCACCTCAGAAACCACTGTAACAGCTGATATTTTGCAACTTTCAAACCGTTTATAAGCGGGCTCAAAATGCAGGGTATCGTCGATTGAACTACGTACTTTCTACAAGTG